CCCCCCATGAGACCAGAATAGAACTTTTTGGTCTTAATTCCACTCGCCGTGTTTGGAGGATGAAGAATGATGAGGACCATCCCTACTGTGAAGCATGGGGGTGGAAGCATCATGCTTTGGGGTGTTTTTCTGCACATGGGACAGGACGACTGCACTGTATCAAGGAGAGGATGACCGGGGCCATGTGTTGAGAGATTTTGGGGAACAACCTCCTTCCCTCAGAGCATTGGAGATGGGTCGAGGCTGGATCTTCCAACATGACAATGACCCGAAGCACACAGCCAGGAGAACCAAGGAGTGGCTCCGTAAGAAGCATATCAAGGTTCTGGAGTGGCCCAGCCAGTCTCCAGACCTAAACCCTATAGAAAATCTTTGGAGGGAGCTCAAACTCTGTGTTTCTCAGCGACAGACCAGAAACCTGGTGATCTAGAGAAGATCTGTGGAGGACTGGACCAGAATCTCTGCTGCAGTGAACCTGGTGAAGAACTACAGGAAACCTTTGACCTCTGTCACTGCAAACAAAGATACTGGTCCAAACATTAACAGTGATGTTCACAGGTGTTCAAATACTTATTTACAGCAGTAACACACAAATAAATGATTAAAAATCATACATTGCGATTTCCGGATTATTATTTTTTTTAGATAACGTCTCTCACAGTGGACATGCAGCTAAGATGTAAATTTCAGACCCTCCATGATTTCTAAGTGGGAGAACTTACAAAGTTGCAGGTGTTCAAATACTTATTTTCCTCACTGTATTTCCATCCAGTGTTGCATTCATTTTTCACCAAGATCTTGCATTGATGACTAGTCATGATGGTGCATCACTTCACCTGCCTCCCTTCTTACCCTGATGCGCCATCACTCTGGAACAGGGTCAGTCTGGACTCATCAGACCACATGACCTTCTTCCATTGCTCCAGAGTCCAATCTTTATGCTCCCTAGCAAATTGAAGCCTTTTTCCAGTTAGCCTCGCTGATTAGTGGTTTTCTTAAGGCTACACAGCTGTTAAGTCCCAATTCCTTGGGTTCCCTTCGTATTGTGCATGTGAAAATGCTCTTACTTTCACTATTAAATATAGCCCTGAGTGCTGCTGTTGTTTTTATTTGATTTGATTTCAAACGTTTAAGTGATTGCTGATCACAATCATTCAAGATTTTTTCTGGCCACATTTCTTCCTCTAAGATGATGGGTCCCCACTATCCTTCCAGTTTTTAATAATGCATTGAATAGTTCTTAACCCAATTTTACAGTGGGTACGGAAAGTATTCAGACCCCTTTAAAATCTTCATTTTTTGTTTCATTGTAGTCTTTTGCTTAAATCAAAAAAGTTAATTGTATTTCTCATTAATCTACACTCAGCAGCCCATCTTGACATAAAAAAACCACAATGTAGAAATTTTTGCAAATTTATTACAAAAGAAAAACTGACATATCACATAGTCATAAGTATTAAGACCCTTTGCTTAGTATTGAGTAGAAGCACCCCTTTGAGCTAGTACAGCCATGAGTCCTCTTGGGAATGATGCAACAAATTTTTCATACCTGGATTTGGGGATCCTCTGCCATTCTTCCTTGCGGATCCTCTATAATTCCGTCAGGTTGGATGGTAAACACCGGTGGACAGCCATTTTCAGGTCTGTCCAGAGATGCTCAATTTGATTTAGGTCAAGGCTCTGGCTGAGCCAGTCAAGAATGGACACAGAGTTGTTCCGAAGCCACTCCTTTGTGATTTTAGCTGTGTGCTTAGGGCCACTGTTTTGATGGAAGGTGAACCTTCGGCCCAGTCTGAGGTCCAGAGCACTCTGGAAGAGGTTTTCTTCCAGGATATCTCTGTACTTCGCCACATTCGTCTTTCCTTCAATTGCAACCAGTCGTCGTGTCCCTGTAGCTGAAAAACACTCCCATAGCATGATGATGCCACCACCATGTTTCACTGTTGGGATTGTATTGGGCAGGTGATAAGCAGTGCCTGGTTTTCTCCACACATACTGCTTAGAATTAACGTAAAAAAGTTAAATCTTCGTCTCATCAGACCAGAGAATCTTGTTTCTCATAGTCTGGGAGTCCTTCATGTGTTTTTGGCTAACTCTATGCAGGCTTTCATATGTCTTGCAATGAGGAGGGGCTTCCGTCGGGCCACTCTGCCATAAAGCCCTGACTGGTGGAGGGCTGCAGTGATAGTTAATTTAGTGGAACTTTCTCCCATCTCCCTACTGCATCTCTGGAGCTCAGCCACAGTGATTGTTGGGTTCTTCTTTACCTCTCTCACCAAGGCTCTTCTCCCACGATTGCTCAGTTTGGCTGGACAGCCAGGTCTAGGAAGAGTTCTGGTTGTCCCAAATTTCTTCCATTTAAGGATTATGGAGGCCACTGTGTTTTTAGGAACCTTGAGTGCTGCAGAAATTATTTTGTAACTGTGGCCAGATCTGTGCCTTGCCATAATTCTGTCTCTGAGCTCCTTGGGCAGTTCCTTTGACAACATGATTCTCATTTGCTCTGACATGCACTGTGAGCTGTGAGGTCTTGTATAGACAGGTGTGTGCCTTTCTTAATCAAGTCCAATCAGTTTAATAAAACACAGCTGGACACCAGTGAAGGAGCAGAAAGATCTCAAGGGGGATCAGAAGGAAATGGACAGTATGTGAGTTAAATATGAGTGTCACAGCAAAGGGTCTGAATACTTATGACCATGAGATATTTCAGGTTTTCTTTTTTCATACATTTGTAAAAATGTCTATATTTTAGTTTTATTATGTCAAGATGGGGTGCTGGGTGTAGATTAATGAGAAAAAAAGAACTTCTTTGATTTTAACAAAAGGCTGCAATGAAACAAAGAGTGAAACATTTACAGGGGTCTGAATACTTTCCGTACCCACTGTAGTAGTTTCTTCAATCTCCTTAGATGTTTCCTCTGCTTGATGCCAATGATTCGACCCTTCTCAAACAGACTGACATCTTGTCCTCGACCACGCGATGTGTCTTTAGACATGGTTGTTTAAGAAATGAGAAGCAACTCATTGCACCAGTTGGGGTTAAATAACTTGTTGCAGCTGAAACATAATCGCCCATGCAGCAATTATCCAGTAGAAGGCTCGGACCTATTTGCTTAGTTAAATCCAGGTGGCTACTTTTTTTGGGCCAGGCAGTGTATTTGAGCCATATCGCCCACCCCTAGAAGGCATACCATACCACCTTTATAGGTGGTCTAACAGCAGAAGGTACTGTAAACGTGGTCTAAAGGTGACCTAAGAGATGGTCTAAAGCAGGGGTCAGCAAAAAGTGGCTCCGGAGCCGCATGTGGCTCTTTCATCCGTCTGCTGTGGCTCGCTGTGACTTTGGGAAATAAATAATGAGTATTTCATTTAAATGTATTTTTATTTTAGCTAACATAATTTGTCTTTTAAATGTAATTCTAAATGTGAATGGTGTTGTAACATTAAAAAAAAAAGTTTTAATTTTTGTCGAACAAAATATGCATCACAATCACCGATGTGTGATGAGGTGGACAATGCGGCTGTGGCTGAGTGGTTAGAGCAGTCGTCCTCCAAAAGAGTTGGGGGTTCGAATCCACCAACAGTCAGATGCCGAAGTGTCCCTGGGCAAGACACTGAACCCCTCAGTGCCTCTGATGTGTGTCCATCAGTGTCTGAATGTGACAAAGCTCTGATTAGTCTCTTTAGAATGATTTGTTCAATTATCTTTGTAGAGATCTAGTATAGAGCTGTATGAATGAGGCACAGATTGTTGTAAAGAGCTTTGAGTCT